AAAGAGAAAGCAAAGTCATAGATTTTTAAATTCGCTTATATTTCCAGTCTCCTAAGTGGTGGAGAGATGAAGATTCGGTACAATAAGGGGCCAATGTGAAACAGTGATTAGGAGTTAAAGCAGCTGGGGAAGGAGCACACTCTCAGTTTTGGTCCGGGAGTGATTTATTATTATGAACAACAACAAAAAAAAACTAGCTCATTAAAAATGTGGAAAGAATTCTAATAGGAAAATCTATTTAGGAACATCTGTCAAAATCTTGTCAGAATGTTTTACTGAAAAAAAATAAACAAATAAAAGCATTTAGTAGATTCATGTATCTTGAGAGTGATATCTTTGCTCTAAGAATTATTTGATTCAATTATATAATGAATTTAAATTTATTCATTTTTAATTAGACGTTTTTAATTTTTGAAGATGAAGTCAGGTTTATACAAAGTTGGGCTCAGTGTTCGGTAAAGCTTATATTCTTATCATTGGCACTATCTTGTGGCAGTAATTTGAAGGATGAGGTACAATTCCTGGCTGGGATTTCTGAAGTCAAAACAGGAATGACTTCAGAATTCTCAAGTGCTCAAATGATGTGACAGGGGTAGAAGAAAAACTGTAAGTTGTGTTAGTTATCTGGGTATTAGTATTATTTAAAATAGCTGAGAATAGGATCCTAGAAGTTGGATTGGATGGGAAAGAGAAAGAAGGCTGCTAGAAAACATAGAAAGGACACAGTGGGAATGTGGACCAGAAGTGTGTGTTTGGGAGCTTTGGGCAGCATGAGGTAGGGCAGCTGGGAGTAGTGTTCCTGGGGCAGGGAGCCAGGGAGAGGAGGGTCGGAATGGTGGCACCTCCTTTAACACCCAGCTTGGACACACCCCTTAGAGACACACTCAGGGTTTCCTAGGAGATTCATGTGGCAACTTTTTCAATAATGTCTTAAAAGTTAGTGTCCTACTTCTTAGAACTCAAGCACTTTACCAAACACTTCACATAGCACTCAGTTATAATGATTACATTTCCAAGAAAACAGTGCAAGTTTCAAGAGTTTTGAAAATTAGTGACTTTAGCGATTCTCTCTCTTCCTCAATTCATGTAACAAACATTATTAGTGAGCGTTATTATGTGCCAGGCACTGTGCTGGCCTCTAGGGATAAGAAGATAAATAATAAATGAACGCTTGAAGAATGATTCAGATGGATAGGTATGGGTGGGGTTTGAGTAGAGACAGATGATGGTATGGGGCTTTGTTGAAGAGAAAATATTTGTCAGAAAGAACATTTCAGGTAGAACCATTGCTTCTTCAGGAAATAGTAATTTGGTGGGATTTGAATATAGGATGTGGAAAAGAATCTAGTGAGAAAGTTAGTAAATATAAGTTTAGCTATTACTTATTGAGCATTTTCTTTGTATGTAGAATTAGGTTAATGCCAGATTGTAATGTCTTAAATGTTATGTTAAGAGATTTACATTAATATGTTATTAGAGTAAGAGAAAGGTGATTCCTGGTGACAGAACTGGGAAGGAGTTTACAAAAGACTGTAGCCATGTAATCATGGCTATAATCATAGAGTATTTTGTGTCAGGCATTGGGCTAACTATGTTAAACTTTATCTCTTTTATTAGGTCAGAGTTTATTATACTAGTATGATAAGATGTGATAAGGGCCTTGATTAGATTTTTTAAAAGGGGCAACAATTTATACAGTTGTGAAGAATTATTTCAGAACCTTAATAATTCATTCATTCACTCATTCATTCATTCAACAAACATTTGTTAAAGCACTCGTTCTTTGTCAGGCTAGGTGCCAGAAGTCAGGTGTATGTGGTGTGACCTTACTGTGTGCTGGGAGCTATTCCAAGTGTTGTACAGGAAGGTCTATCATTATTTCAGATGAGAAAATAAAAACACAGAGAAATCAAATAACTTCTCCAAGGCCAGTGAGCTACCATGTAGGGTCTGATCCAGACCATCTCTCTGGCTCCAGAGTTTCATTCCGTAACTCTCCACACTACGTCCCACAAATAGATATAAGACTTCTGACCTCAAATGTCATTTAAAAAAAATTTTTTTTTTACATTTATTTATTTTTGAGACAGAGAGAGACAGAGCATGAATGGGGGAGGGTCAGAGAGAGAGGGAGACACAGAATCTGAAACAGGCTCCAGGCTCTGAGCTGTCAGCACAGAGCCTGACGCGGGGCTCGAACTCACGGACTGCGAGATCATGACCTGAACCGAAGTCGATTGCCCAACCGACTGAGCCACCCAGCCGCCCCTCAAATGTCATTTTTTTAGTTGGTAGAAGGACATGGAAGCAAATAACTAAAATGCTCCAGGAATTATAATTCCAGTATGCAAAGTGCCATGTGTTATTTCCAGGTTTAGGCTATTATGAATAAAACTTCTATAAACATCCATGCACAGGTTTAGGTGCACATAAGTCTGTTTCTCTGGCTTAAATGCCTGAGTGCAATTGCCCTTGGATTGTATGATAGTTGCATTTAGTGTTTGAAAAAACTGGTAAAGTGTTTTCTAGAGGAGTTGTATCATTTTACCTTCCAAGTAACAAAGTGTGAACAATCCAGTTTCTCTGTATCCTTGCCATTTATGGTTGTCACAGTTTTTTGTTTTAGTCATTCTGATAGGTGTGTAGTCATAAGTAATTGTGGTTTTAATTTGCATTTCTCTAATGGCCAGTGATGTCCACCATTATTTGCTTATTTGTCATCTGTAGATGCTCTTCGGTGAAATGTTTCTTCATCTTTTGCCTACTTACTAATTGGATTTTTTTCCTGTTGAGTTTTGAGAATTTTTTACATATTCTAGTTACTAGATACCAGTCTTTTGTTGGATATGTGGTTTGCAAATATTTTCTTCTAGTCCATAGTTTGCAACAACAAGGTCTTTCACACAGAAAAAGGTTTAATTTTGATAGTCCGATTTATCAATTTTTTGTTTGGTGCCAAGTCTAAGAACTGGGTCTAGTCCTAGGTTCTGAAGATTTTCTCACATGTGCTCTTCTGAAAGTTTTATAGTTTTCTGTTTTTCATTTAAGCCTATGATCTATTTTGCATTGATTTTTGTATAAGGTAAGGCTTAGGTTACATTTCTTTTTTTCTTTGCTTTGCTTTCTTTCCTTTTCTTTCCTTCCTTCCTTCCTTCCTTCCTTCCTTCCTTCCTTCCTTCCTTCCTTCCTTCACCTATGAATGTCCAATTTCTTCAGCATAATTTGTTGAAAAGGCGATCTTTCCTCCATTGATTTGTTTTTCTCCCTTTGTGAAAATTCATTTAGGCATAATTGTGTGTGTCTATTTTTTGGTTCTCTGTTATGTTACTATGTTTTTCATTCTCTGTTATGATCTATGCGCTCATCCCTCCAACGATCACACAGTCTTGATTACTACAGTTATATTGTAAGTCTTCACTTCAGATAGACTGATTCTTCCCACTTTATTTTTTTAAAATTATTTTAACTATTCCAGTTCTTTTGTCTTTCCATGTAGATTTTAGAACAATCTTGTCTGTATCTATAAGAAATTTTACTGAATATTGGTAAGAATTGTGTCAAATCTTGTATATCAGCTTGGGGAGACACAACACCATTTTATGCTTAGTGTTCTAATCTGTGCGTATATTTATCTCTTCATTTATTAGATCTTCTTTGATTTCTTTCATAAGTGTTTTACTTCTCAACATGTTAAGTCTTGTCCTTGATTTACATCTGGTATTTTATCTTTTTTTTTTTGACCAATTGTAAGTGGTATTATATTTTCAATTTCAGCATTTATATGTTCATTGATAGTATATAAAATATAATTGATTTTTGTATGTTTATGTCCTGTGACCTTGCTGAACTCATTTATTAGTACTAGGAGGTACTAGGATTTTTTTTTTTTTTTTTTGTAGATTCTTTAGGTCTTTCTACATAGACAATCATGTCATCTGAAGATACAAGCAGTTTTATTTTTTTCATTTCCAGTTTCCATGCCTTTCCCACTCCCTTTCTTTCCTTATTGTACTAGCGAGAGCTTCCAGAACTATAGTGGTAAGAAGGCTATCATTGTCTTGTTCTTGATCTAGATGGTGGTTGTTGTGGTGGTGATGGAGGTATGTGCATTCAGCTTTTTATCGTTACCCATAGGATTTTTTGTAGATTTTAAAATCAAATTGAGGAAGTTCCACTCTATTCCTAGTTTTCTGAGAGTTTTAAAAATCATGAATAGTGGATTTTTTTCAAATGCTTTTTCTGCATCAATTGATATGATCAACTGTTTTCTCTAGCCTGTTAATATGACGGGTTATACTGATTGATTTTTAAATACCGAATCAGCCTTTCATGCCCAGAATGAACCTCACTTGGTCATAGTGTATAATTCTTTTTGCATTTTATTGAATTCTATTGGGTAATATTTTATTAAGGATTTGTGTGTCTATGTTCATGAAGAATATTGGTCTTTTATTGTCTTTGTCAGATAATATCTTCACAAAATATTAGCTTTCCCTTATTCTGTTTTTTGAAAGAGAGTGTACAGAATTGGTGTTTGGCTTTTAAAGTTTGGTAAAATTCTTCAGTAAAACCACCTATACCTTGAGATTTCTTTTCTGGTAGGTTTCAGTTGGTGAGTTCAATTTCCTTAATAGTTATAGGGATATTCAAATTACGTATTTCATATTAGTTTAACAGTGGTAGCTTGAGGAATTGGTCCATTTCACCTACTTTGTCAAATTTATGTATGTATATTTATCATAGTATTCCTCCATATTCCTTTTGGTGTCTGCAGGGTCTGTAGTAATATCCTCTGTATCATTACTGGTATTGATAACATGTCTTTTCTCTTTTCACTTTGTCATTCTGCTAGAGGCTTGCCAATTTTACTGATCTTTGGAAAAATAGTTATTTGTTTCATTGATTTTTCTCTGTTTTTTTTTCTGTTTTTATTTCAATGATTTCTGCTCTTATTATTTCTTTCTGTTGATGTTGGGTTTGATTTGCTCTTCTTTTTCTAGGTTCTTGAAGTCGGAGATTCGATTATTGATGTGAAACTTTTCTTCTTTTCTAAGGTATGCATTTCATACTATAAAGTTCACACTCAGCACTCTTTTAGCTGTGGCCCACAAATTTTGATATGTTGTATTTTCATTTTCCTTTAGTTCAGTGTTTTGACTTCTCTTGAGACTTCTGCCTTCATCTATGAATTATTATGTTGTTTAGTTTCCAAGTTTGTATATTTTCCTGTTATGTTTCTCTTACTGATTTCTAATTTGATGTGGTTGGAGAATACACTCTGGATGATTTCAATTCTCTTAAATTTGTTGTTTTTTTTGACACTTCTGATACCAAGTAAGTGGGTTTTCTGTCCCACCTCTGTCTTGACACCAGCCAATTTACCAACTTTCTAGACATCATAAACATCTGGGTATCATATATTTTATTTCTGACACTAGTTAGTGTCAGATTCTACAGGTTTAAGGGCTTAGTCCCACAAGACTGTCCTCACTTCAGACACCAGTTGCAAGTAATGGGTCCCCAGGATACCCACACTTTTGTCCAACTTGGCTACAAGTTGGAGTTTGCCACAAGCCTCCCTCAGATTTGATAATTTGCTGAAGCGACCACAAAACTCAAGGAAACATTTACTTATGCTTACTGGTTTATTATATACAAATTACTAGCTAGATGAAGAGGCAGAAAGAGCAAGGTCCAGAAGGGTCCTGAACACAAAATCTTCTGTTCCCATAAAGTCGAAGCACACCACCCTTTTGGCATGTGGATGTTTTTACCAACCCCGAAACTCCCTGAACCCTGTAGTTGAGGAATTTTTATGGAAGATGCACCATGTAGGCATGATTAATTACTAACTCAGTCTCCACATCTTCTTCCTTCTCTGGAGAATGGGGGTTGGGGCTAAAACTTCCAAGCTCTTAATCATGGCTTGGTCTTTTTGATGAGCAGCCCCTATCCTAAAACTATTCAGGAGCCCACTAAGAGTTGCCTCATTTGAACAAAAGAAATGAAGGGGAAATCAAGACATTCTCAGATGAAGGAAAACTAAGAGAATTTGTCATTAATGGACCTACACTAAAATAATGACTATCAACATTTTTTTTTAATCACCCAGGACATTCCAAAGGTTTTAGAAGCTCTGTGTCAGGAACTAGAGTAAACTCAAATATTAGGGGAAAAAAAGATACTCCTAACATCCGTATTACTTAGGAAATTACAAGGGTTTTAGGAGCTGTGGCAGGAACCAGGAACAGAGACTAAATATATATTTCCTCTAATGTCACACTTGCCCAAATGGTCTTATTTGAAGTTAATATGCTGATAATGAGGGTTATAGAAATGAGGTAAGGAGGAAAAAAGAAAATGACAGCGGTTTGGGTTAATGACCACAGGAAAGATTAAAAAGGGACAAAATAAAAGAAAGCTGGAGACCCACTTATGGTTCAGAATCATAAATGTTTGGTAGCAAAAATCTATAGAATTTTTTTCATTTTGTGCTCCCTCACCCTCACCCCATTCCACCCCCAATTTCTTACTTTCAAAGAGGCAAGGATAGAATCCAGGTTTGTAGAGCTCATGAATGGTGAAAGTTCATTCAAATCTATATCTGCCTGTCTCCAAAGTCTATGCTAAAGTCTATGTAGGTTAAGGAGCTGTGAAGTTGATATTGTATATGTGGTTCCCTTAGAGGTGAACATGGCAGAATTTAGGAGGAAAAAAAATGACATAAGTGTAGATGTAGGCATTAGGGAAGAAGGATAAGACAAAAAGAAATCAGAGGATGTTTTTGTTAACCTGTATTGCAATTCACTATGTCAAGGTTTTATTTCTGTGTCAAAGGTTAATTTCCTTTGTAATGAAAATAATACCTACATTATAAGATTTTTGTAAGGATAATGTGGCATATTAACTGTAAAGCATTTAGGGTAGTGTACAACACTCATATGTGTTCAAATTTAATGTTGTTTAATGTCTTTGAACATGATTGCTCTAAGTTTTCTGTTCAATAAAATGAAGCCAAATTAGAATTATAGCAAATGAGTGTTTTCTAATAAGTGGAACTCCTTAAAATGGAACTGGAAAAAATATATTTGCATTCACTCTTGTATGTATAAAACCTCCAGAAGAATAAACAGGGAATTTATAATGATGGTTTTTGGTGCAGGGTGGGATACAGTGGTGCTGGTGGTGTGGTTGTAGAACTAGGCAGGTGGGTTGGAGGGAGTATTATTTTGTAATTTAAAAAGTATGATCCCTGTGTATATATATTAATGATACAAGTTTTTAAAGGGAAAAAAGGTAGAGTTAGCAATCAAGAATTTACCCATTCCCTTCTCCAGAAGTGTTTGGGTTGAGGCCGCTTGCCCATTAACCAGGGAAGTTGTAGAGAGATACTCCTTCCATGAGTGAGAGGTAGGATTTGATGGCCTCTATTGTCCCTGTGTTGTGATTCCTGAAATATGAATGGATTATATCTTCTCCCAGCCTTTATTCAGGAAATATACACTAAGTACATGCTGTAGTGAGTCTCTTTATTTAGTGAAATCCAACAAATACTGCTTTTAATTGCGTGATTTGTCTACTTTTGATGTTGACTAGATTATCTTCATCAACTAAGAAGACTTTGCATTGGAGGAGAGAGTCTGTTGCACTTAAAACTACAGAACTAACACTGAAAACATTGTTCTGCAAATATCTAAGTACGAATATAGTCTCTTGATTGATGGGAGCAGAGTGACCTATTGACCCACAATGGCATTATCCAAGGGCCAAGGCTATATCAGTCACTTCTGTTTTCATAAAGGAGACAGAGTGCCCAACATCCTTGTTCATCTATAGTTTCATGCTTATATGTGGAAAGAATCTGACTGGGTGGCTTATCTTTCTTACTTGACTTTTGTTCTGACTTGTGAACCCTGTTTTGGATTCTAGTTCTAGTGTTATTGACCTCTCATCTGCTGGCCCTGACATGAACTGTGGCTAGGTTTAATATTTGCTTTGTCTCTGTTCAGAATTATATTTTCTTTCCTCTTTGATCTCTGACAGCCCTTCAAAAAATTTTTTCAACTTTCCAAAGAAAATGCTTTTTGAAATCACTATTATCATGGGGTTGCTTCTATAATTATTTTGGCATTAAATTTCATTCTCTGTACAACAATAGCATTACCACATAATATAAAAGGACCCCTTGTTATTGTCGTCTGGGCAACCCAGAGTGTTGTGGAATCTTGTGACATTTCACAGTGTGTTGGCATTGTAAAGAAATTTTATTTGTGTGTTATTTTTTGAGCATAATTCACCAAGCTTGATAAAATAAAGCACAAATATGCAGAAGCACTGTGAATTTTCCTTCCTCAAATCAATTTTTCCTTTCTCTCAGTGAAGTTTGGAAAATAAATACTACTAAGACAACATTGGGAAAAATTTTTAACAATATTGATGTTGTCTGACTAGTGAGTGGGTAGTAGTAAATGACTCACCTTTTAGAAGTAAATGAATTCTTTCAGGTACCAAGCACTATGCTGGAGATATTTGTTCACTCTTAACTGAGTTAAGCAATTTATGATCAGATTTCTCTAAACTTCAAAAGCAATTGCTGCTAGATAACAGTCTGATCAAGCTCGTTTTGTGTGATGTCAGATGGAATCCAAGTAAGCCTTAGGTCAATTAGATTCCATAGGACACATATTTCCATAATGCCTTGGAATTGGCAAAATTTTTATCAGCAACTTTTAAGAGAGAAATCTTATGAAATTTGAATACATTTTAATATTAAAAATTTTCTTTTATAACTACAGATTTCCCCAGGGACTGACTTTTTATTCCTAATTGATTAGTTAGTGCCATATCACTGGGCAAAAATTCCCCAAAGTTCAGTTACCTCTTGGTCACATTTAGTTTGATAAGAATATTTAACTGAGGGGTGTACCAAATATTTGCTGTGTCTTCTCCTTGAAACTTAAATTATGTTTGAAAGCTTACTCAGAGTAATTATAGGATACTTTTTGCTTTGGATTTTTGTAGGTTAGGAAACATCGTATTTACAAGCCCTAAGACAAAAAACATAAAATACATTGAAGTCATTTTTTAAAATGTTTATTTATTTTTGAGAGAGAGAGAGACAGAGGAGCATGAGCAAGGGAGGGGCAGAGACAGAGAGAGAGAGAGAGAGAGAGAGAGAGAGAGAGAGAGAGAGAAACAGAACTTGAAGCAAGCTCCAGGCTCTGAGCTGTCAGCACAGAGCCCAATGTGGGACTCGAACTCACAAACCGTGAGATGGTGACCTGTGCTGAAGTTGGACGTTTAACCAACTGAACCACTGAGGCGCCCCTAAAGTCATTTTATCACTAAAAAGGTAAAACATCAGAATAACTATCAGACACTCAAAACCCATTTATTTTAGTTAAAAGCGGTAAGGAGAATAACTTTCACAGTTTGGTTTTGACTTAAGGCAAATGACAATTAAGCTAGTTGTAAAAGTCTTGGACCTTGGCTGACAATTCTATTATTTTTAGCATTGACTGTTGTAGAAGATACTGCCAAAACTAGCTGATTTTAGCTTCTCTGAAAGACACTTGCTCAGAAACTTTGGAATTCCTTCTTTCTGCCCCATTAGCTTTCTTTTCTTTTGGGATTTCAGTTGTAAGTAATTAGATAGACTTTCTCAGTGTATCTCCTATGTCTCTTACCCTCTTTTCTGTATTTTCTTTACTTTTATCTCTCCGTGCTTCATTTTGATGATTCTATTCAAATTTTGCTGCTAGTTCAGTAATTCTGTCCTCAGCTGTATGTAATTTAATTTTAGACTCATCCATTGAGTTTCTAATATCTGGTTTTATTATATGGTTTCTACATTTTTGTCAAAATTTGTCATGCTGTTTTCTGTCTTTTTGGACATATGAAAAAGTCTATGCATAAAATTTTCATCATCTGGATTGCCTAAATCTATTGTTCCCTATTTCTCTTGGTTTTTAATTACATTGTCTGGTTACTTTTGACTGTGCCGAAAAACGTATAATGAAAACTATGAAATTAATTTGAAGCTTATGATAGTGCT